CGAACAGTATAGTTTACATAATGATTTTAATTGTTTGCCATATTTGGTGACCCCAATAACTCAGATCACATGCTTGCAATATTTATTACAGTTTTATGACTTTAGGGTGTCAATGCTGAATTGTTGTAGTTCAGATAAAATTTAGATAAATCTAAATATTAATAATATTAATATATGTAATAATACCTATTTGTGCTGAAAAAAAAGTTCTTTAAAAAAAAATTTTTTTTTTGGCAAATTATACAAAGATCATAATGGAAAACACTTTGGATGAAAATAAACATCATGACGATACTTCTACTGATGAAAATGATAAATTTTTTGATGAAAAATATGAATGGTTTGGAAATGTCCAACCTGCAATAGATATAACACCGATTGGGCATGGTGTCAATCATGCGATCCAAAACTATTAACTGAAGGATGAACTAGTGGCAATGAAACATTAGATGAATTGATTAAAAGTACACAACTTAAAGCAACAAATTATGGTTGTGATTATTATCTTCAATGGATTCCTTATAATGTTTTAACAAATACTGAAAAGATGGGTGAAGGTGGGTTTGCAACTATATCCAAAGCTACTTGGTTAAATGGTGAGATATGTATGAATGATAGTGAAGGCAGGTCTGTGGCATTAAAAAAGTTACATAATTCACAGAATATTTCTGATGAATTTCTTAATGAGGTAAATTATTTTATTTTTCTATTTATTTTCAGATTTTTTAATCTTATTCTGAAATTCAATATATTTTTTAATAGTTTAGAAATTATGCTACATTTCATGGTAAATCATTTATAAATAAAATTTATGGATTAACACAAGATCCAGCTACAAAAGAATACATCTTTGTAATGGAATACATGAAGGATGGAAGTCTTCAAGATTATGAAGATCCATATATTGGAAATGAAGAATATAGGAAATGTCCAACCTGCAATAGATACAATACTAATAAGGAATGGTGTCTATCATGAAATCCAAAGCTATTAACTGAAGGATGGACTAGTGGCAATGAAACATTAGATGAATTGATTAAAAGTAAACAACTTAAAGCAGCATATTATCATTATAATAACCATCTTCAATGGATTCCTTATAATGATTTAACAAATATTGAAAAGATTGGTGAAGGTGGATTTGCAACTTTATCTAAAGCTACTTGGTTAAATGGTTATAAAAGTATAAATTATGATAATGAAAGGACTAGCAAAGATATGCCAGTGGCATTAAAAAAACTACATAATTCACAGAATGTTTCTGATGAATTTCTTGGTGAGGTAAATTATTTTATTTTATTCAGATTTTAAAATATTATTGATTATTATTATTGTTGTAATTAAATATTTTATTCATTATTTTAGCTCAAAAATTATACAAAGTTTCATGGTAAAGTTTATATTTATGGGTTAACACAAGATCCAATTACAAATGAATATATCTTTGTAATGCATTACATGGAAGATGGAAGTCCTCAAAATGATGAATATTCAGGTAAAAGACATGAATGGTATGGGAAATGTCCAACCTGCAATAGATTTAACACCGATTGGACATGGTGTCAATCATGTGATTTAAAACTATTAACTGAAGGATGGACTAGTGGCAATGAAACATTAGATGAGTTGATTAAAAGTACACAACTTAAAGCAACAAGTTCTAGTAATCATAATTATCTTGAATGGATTCCTTAAGGTGATTTGACAAATATTGAAAAAATAGGTGAAGGTGGGTTTGCAACTATATCCAAACTACTTGGTTAAATGGTTATAAATATATGAATTATGTAAATGGAAAATATACCAGAACTAGCAAAGATATGACTGTGGCATTAAAAAAACTACATAATTCACAGAATGTTCCTGATAAATTTCTTAATGAGGTGAATTATTTTATATTTCTATTTATTTTCAGATTTTTTAATCTTATTCTGAAATTCAATATATATTTTTTTAATAGTTTAGAAATTATCTCACATTTCATGGTGAATCATTTATAATTCATATTTATGGATTAGCACAAGATTCAATTACAAAAGAATATATATTTGTAATGAAATATATAAAAGATGGAAGTCTTCAAAATTATTTAACTAAAGATTTTAAAAATTTAAAATGGAAAGACAAAATTTATATTCTTTATTATATTATTAGAGGTTTAGAAGATATTCATAAAAAAGAAATTATTCATCATGATTTTCATAGTGGTAATATTCTTCAAATCTGTAATCAGTCACTTATTGCAGATTTGGGATTATCATGCACATCTAGTCAAACATCATCATCAAATAAAAATGATATATGTGGAGTACTACCATATATTGCACCAGAAGTTTTAAAAGAGAAGCCATATACAAAAGCATCAGATGTATACAGTTTTGGAGTTCTGATGTCTGTAGTATCAACTGGCCAACAACCATTTAATAATTTGGCACATGATCTAGATCTTGCAATGAAAATATGTAAAGGTGTAAGACCAGGATTCTCAAACAATACACCAAAATTCTATATTGAACTTGCATTCAAATGCATGGATGCTAATCCAGATAAACGTCCAACTGCTAAAGAAATTGCTAAAATTATTAATATTTGGTATGTTTCACCTCATTATGCAGGCGATAAATATGAATCAATTAGAAAAGAGTTTAATAAAATGGATGAAATCAAATTTGATCCTTCAACGATCACTGCAGTAATTCATCCAAATGCAATTTATACTAGCAGATTATTAAAATTCACAAACCTTCCCCAACCTGTGAATTCCAATAAAGTAACAATTATTGGTAATAATGATGGTAATTATTAATATTCAATTATTGATTTTCATTCTTATTAATTTTTAAAATTAACAATATTTATTAATACGCACTCTGTGATAAATATTTTTTTAGATTCTCATCAGATTGATTTACTAGATGAATTTTAAATCCTGTCATTATTATGTATTAAATTATTTTTTATTTCATTTATTTGGCTGCGATAGTTCTGTAGTTGTGATATTAAGTATTTTGAGAAATGAAATTATATTTAATAGTGATATTATCTTTGTTTTTTTTTTTATTTGAAATTTGGATGTCAAATCAATGGTTTCATTTTTTTATAGCAAAAATAATGTACTTTAACAATATATTAAAATCTTAAATTTATAATTCAAATAAAAAAGCCACATCTAAATCATTTTGACCTACTTGTTGAACCACTATTGTAGTCAACTTCCAGAAGAGGATCACCATCCTCCAGATTTGGTTGTCTTAAATGATCCTTCCTCTTTGTTTATTATTTGAATTGTTGTCATTCGTTTATTCAAACCATTCATTTATTCATTTTATTAGAACTATTCGTTTATTCATTTTATTATTCGAATTGTTATTATCATTTATTCGAGCTATTCATTTATTCATTTAATTAGAACTATTCATTTATTCGTTTTATTGTTCGAATTGTTATCATTCATTATTCGAATTGCTATCATTCGTTATTTGAATTATCATCATTCGTTTATTATTCAAATTATCATCATTCGCCTATTTGAATTGTTATCATTCGTTTATTATTTGAATTGTTGTCATTCGTTTATTGAATTGTTGTCGATCGTTTGAATTATATTCATTTTATTTCGTTTTATTATTCGAATTGTTGTCATTCATTTATTCGAACAATTCGTTTTGTTCGAATTATTCGTTTATTCGTTTGTTTGAAATATTCGAATTATTGGTTTTACTCGAATTATTTGTTTCATGAATGAATAAATGAAGAAATTTACCTTAATATTTAAATTTATTGCAATTGCATCAATTTATTATTATCACTACCAGAGTATCAATTTATTCACATTTTTAATAGTTTTTTAAATCTGCATTTGGATTCAACTCAGCCTTTCTATCATATTCTGGTTGAAAGCTGAATTGGGCTCTTTTCCAGCTGGTTCGCTTTTGCAGGATCCTCATAAGCAACTTGCCTGACAATTGATTTGTGATCTGGCCATGACAAATTTAGTGAACCTTGGATGATGGTTTCAATAATAAACACCTTTCTATTATTCCATTCCCAAATACCTAAAGATGGGAACCGTAATTCAATTTTATATACTGCAATTAATTGAGGAGCCATCTTTACAAATACCATGAGCATATCTGTACATTCAACGTATTTATCCCAATCCACATCTGATACTAACTTGTAGGGTAAACTGTGAATATTGATTGACATCGACAGTTATGCAATGGCATGGCCTCAAGAACTTATGTAGAATCATTCCATTTGGCCTCTGGATGAATTTTTACCTCTCACCAAAGTTTCCAAAACTTTATAGTCAATATGAAGTGAATCTAGGGTTGGACTAAAAAGGTTTGGATAAGTTAAAAAAACAAAAAGGGAATTATCTCAACGGATACCATTTGTACAATTACCATTTAAAAACAACAACATTAATTTTCATATCTATAAAGCTATTGTTTAAGTCGCTTTTGACGAAGTGAAAAAATACAACAGGTTAATTCACATGTTTCCCACATAATAACAAATAAATAAATTCTTTTGTTTCGTTTATAAAAATACTTTTATAGTTGGAAACAGTAGTGTTTAATTGTACATTTGGTTATTTGAATAGTATAAAACTCTGAGGTTTTGTTTATTTGCTTTGCCATAAAGCAAAGGTTTTGACGTTTGTTAACCAGTGCAGTGTTAACAACGGATTGTTTAGAAAATTTTCAGTTTCTTTGATTTTAAATAGCATTTATTCATTCTGTATTGTGATATTTCTATTAACTTCATCAACCATAATAATAAATTAGTTTCGTACTGATTTCGTTACCCATAATTAGTTTTGTCACCTGTAACAGTAATTAATTCGTAATTACGTTTTAAAAGAGGGGAAGCATTAATTAATTATGATGTGTTTACGGTAATTGGGTAATTTTACGTTAAATTTTTTATATTATAGTTTTTTAAGTTCTTTATACAATCTAAAGATATTTTTGGGAATTTTTTAATGCGTTTACATAAATCATCAACATCAAATTTTCTTTTATCACGTTCACTTGAAATTTCATTTGCAATTATTTCTCCCACACCATCTAAAACCCTCAATTTCCAAAAGTTTGTTGAATTAATACAGATTTTATCACCACCTGCAAAGAAGGCTTTTTTAGCAAATAAATTAATGAAAGTTTTTAAAGGGTTGCAAACCTTACTTGCAGCAAATTGAGCACGAGATGAGTACACATTTCCATAAAATTTTACAAAATTATCTTTGCTAACAATTAAACATTCTGGTTGCAACCTATCCAAATCAATTGAATATTTCACAATTTGACAGAATTAGTAATAACCAATCGTTAATACCAACCTTTTTTGAAACTTCCCCAACTTTTTTACACTCTTCCTTGATCATTTTATCATTAATTTTTTGTGGATTATTTGATTCCATATTTCTCCATTTTGTTTGTAATGCCAATCTTTTTTTGTTCATTATTGATTATTAAAAAAGTGAATCCATCACAAGCAGCACCATCAGCATTTAAATAAACTGTGTAATTGTTAAAATGTGAAATTTTACAAATAGAATTATTATGGTCATAAATAGTGCCATTGGATGGATATTGGTTCCTTAAATAACTTATTTTAACTGAATTATGATCAGGAATTTCTATATCTTCATCCATAAATGAATTTGAACACAATGCTTCATTTAGCAGTTCTTTTAATTTTAATGTTCTATTTCCAAGTGCTGAAAATAAACATATATGCAAGGCCCAGAATCCAACATTAAATCTCTCCCATTGTTTCCAATAAATTTGTTCATTAGGATTAATCATTATATTCCAAAATATGAAAATTGATTTATCAGTAGATGCTTTTATTAAAAGTCAAATCCAAAGGTATGGAATATGTATGTAAAATTTATTTTCAGTAGTGTCAACTGGTTCAAGCATTAACATTCCATGAGACTTCGAGTCTTCATACCCAATTCTAAGATTTTATTGTATAAATAATAATAATAAATAAGGTCCATTTAGTGTTTGTACTTCATAATAGTAGAAATATTCGGATGTATCCGTTGTGATTTGTTGAACACCCATTAAAAAGCCATCTTTTCTATTAACACTTTTTCCTAAAATGGCTTAAGTTGATGAATTTTTGAATATCCCTGAAGAAAATATTGTCTGTGAGGTTCCAGATGATGATAAAATTATCAAAGAACTTGCAGAAATATATAAAAATAAAATAAATGTACCTGCTGACAATTTTGAGAAGATGGCATTAAGCCTTGAGGAAGCATTAAAGGTCTTGAAACTGTACATGCATTTTTATTACAGCAAGAAAAATAATGCTACAAACAAATAAAATTGGCTAATAAAATTGAAAGATATATCAATATAAACAAACTATATACTGTATCATGTGCGACCAACGAAATCACTTCTCTCCATAAATGCACACCCTCCATAAATGCGCGCTGTCTCTTGGTCCCAAGGGGGTGCATTTATGGAGGTCTTGACTGTAATTCTTTTTGTAAAAATATCGTCTGGTCTCCCCACTTATTCTTATCCACCTCTAAATTTCTCTTACTTTTTTTAAGCCAATAAACTCCTCTACAAACTTTTCTTTCTCTCCTCTCCGTAATTCCTTCAACCTCTGCCCATCCCCCCAATCTTTCAGCTTCTTTGTTACCTCCTCGTAATACCTATTTAGTCGATTTAGCTCTTGTTCGGTTTTTTCATATGTCATCATTTTCTAAGATTAAAAAATTTTAATGATAAATTAGAAGACACATTTAAAATATAAGTTAAAGAATTGTCAGAACACTGGCATGGGAGGAAATACTCGGACCCAAAGCCATTTGTAAGTATTACCTATTCTTTGGGCACTCTGACAAAAATTCAACTTCACTATTACTACTGCTATTATTATCAATAATGTTATCATTAATATTTGTATCCTCTTTGCTTCATTATTCTCATAAAATTCACTCGCCACTTCTTTTTTTTCTTTATTAACCCATTCCTGAATTCTTCTATCGTTTTCTTTCTAGGATTTGTTTTTCGTTGGTAGAAGTTTTTTAATATTAGAGGCAGCAGCTCCTTTCTTTTCTCTCCAAGTAATTCACGAATTTCATTAGCCATTTTGTTGAATGAAAAATTGGGATTCAATCCAATATTTTTACCAAATAATTGCTTAAAATCCTTCCATATATTTCGAATATTTTCTATCATTAGTAAATCTGTTTATTTTATTTTTGAATTGGCTTTTCCTTGGTTCGATTTTACCAATTATTTGATCAATCATTTGATTTTTAATACAGAACTGATTTATAATGAAGTAAGAAACCAAGCAAGAGTCCAGTTAACGATCTTCAAACAAAGTTCACAGTTGAAAGTTTTTTTTTATTATTATTATTGGCAAGCAATATAATATGATGATGTTTGCATAATAATTAAGGAAAATTTTCTTTGTAAAAAGAACAATATTGCAATAATAATAACATCATTTTCCTTCTAAAGATTTCTACTTTTTGTTGGGTAACGGTGCACCTTCATTCTGCTTTCTTTTCTTAATGTTTATTATTTTTCTTTCCTTAGATAAGCTTTCTGAATATCATTTATTTTGAAAGCGTAAGTAGCAATTTTTTCACCTTGTTCTTTCTTCAAAATACTTCTAATGGTGCTGTAATTAGCCTCATATTAACTATTTTTGTTTAAAGATAATCCTAAGCAAAAAAGCAGATATCGTCACATTACATTGGTAATAAATACAATTGTCTGGTTTTGTTGCAGTATACCCCATATGCAAAATCACGTTTTCAATTTACAAAAAAATTATTTACATAATAATATTCAAAGAAACTTTATAATTATATGTAAAATAGAAAAAAAATGTAGATTTTACCTTGGCCATCTAGATAACTTCAATATCCATATACTTTTACCAGAGGCAAGGAAAATCAAATAGTAACTTTCAATACACCATATACTCTTCACGATACACCACTTAATTGGTGGTTGACATTCTATGATGACATTGATCATCTTCAAAATATTGCAATCAAAATCTTTTCTCTTTGTCTTCATAGTGCCAATGAAAACTCTTGAATAACATTGTCGACTTAAATCCATAAGTTTTAGAAAAACGGGAATACATATCAAATCAACTAATTGTTGAGAGTTGTTTCAGTATCAAGTGCTTGGATGAAGACTTTTGTAATTCAAGGAAACCATCTTGGTTAAGACATTAATTAGATTTTTTTGTAATCAGAGGCATCTTTTTTTAAAAAAAAAATAATTTTATAAACACTTGCTTTGTTGAATCTTTTATCCTTTTTTCAATCTCTATTTCCGCAATTGATTTTTTATGGTTGAGAATTACTTTAAAGCCAAATTGGCATTTTTCGTCAAATTCCCATTTAAAAATCAACCTATGGTAAACAGATTCGAAATTTAGAAAAAGTTTGAAATGAACTTTGAAAATTAATCTGCACTTGCATATTAATATAATGTAATTACTCGTTTGAAATTATTGTCATTATTAGAAGTTGTCAAAGGAGTTGTATTAGTTATTGTTGATGATAGTGATGGCAGTGAGTGAGTTCGCACTGTTGATGAATTAAAAAACAATAATAATTATGATTAATAACTAGAATGGCGAGTTGCGGACCGATAACCACCATGATACTACTACTAAAATAACTTGTAAAAAACAATCATGCAATACCATTCTTTTTAGATAACTAGTAATAACACTTACTCAAAATGTTGTTGTTTGACGTACACAACTAAGCCCCTATTGTTATTTTTTTGGACGCAAATTGATTTTTTTTTGGAAAAACAATCAAGAGTCTGCCAAGATGACAAACATAGTTGGTTCTGCTAAAGAAGAAGTGTAGTTTATTAATAGCAGAGGTACACCCCCTCGTTCTAAAGTAGTAGTAGAGGATGTTATCTTTCCGAACTTTACGGTATTAGTATATTATTATAAATAAAAATACGTAAGACAATTTTCATTGGATTAATTATTTATATGCATTAGATAGTGTATATCGATCCGAATCAATTTATTTATATATACTAATACTGTATATGTTGAATCAGGCGGGTCCGAATTAATGAATCAAAAGTTAGGTGATTCAATTCGAATTTCGTTGATTCGTTCCGAGACTTAACTAGAATGGACTAATTCTGAACTGCTAGAACAACCTATAAGCCAAATCCATCAACTTCAGACAAAACTATATCAAATCCATAATGTACTATTATTCCATTATCTCTCAAAGGTAAAATTTTCGATTATTGTTTGAATATGGAAAAAAAGGAAAATTGAGGAAAAGAAGAGCCTAAGAACAAATTAAAGATATATATATATATATCATAAAGGCTTAATTTTAATTTTTCTTATTTGCCTTTTTAAATTTTGAATAGAAATTCATTCATAAGATCCAATAAGTAAACTACACCGTCTATTTCAATCGAAGCATGCCAAAAAATGTTGTAAACGCATGTCTAAACAGGTAAATCAAGAATAAATTTGTCCGTGGTTCGTTTTTTCGGGAAAACTCTATATCGATACTAACGCTAATCTCGAGTGTTTAATTGTAAATAAAATACAAGTGTAATGTTACGACCCTTGGATTTTTATTAGAAATGCACCCGCAGATCATTAATAAATAAATGGATATTAATATTGTTGTGTATCAATATATATATTTGTTTCATATATACAGCATATTAGTGATACTTGTTTCAAATTAATTCTTTCGAAAAATTTAAAGAAAAAAAAAAGTATTCTTTTAAAAAATGAAGACGTCTTTTATTTTATTTGCAATTGGAATTGTAACTTTATTTTCTACTTCAACTATGGCTACTCCGGTTGCTGAAGCAGAACCTCCTAAATTCACAGGTTAGAAATCATCCTCATCATTACTAAAATATTAATTTATTAGAGATTTTATATTAATTAAAATAATATTAATATTTTTTAGATTCTAAAGGAAATGTCATTTTGATGGATTAAAATATCATTTATTAACCATCGTTATCAGCATCATCATCATCACATCATTTGTTTTTAAAAAGTATGTTAAAAAATTTCTATCTCAATATAACAACAACATTAATATACTTTAATATCAATACTAAACTTTTTATTTATTTTATCTTAATATATTTAGTTATATTATTTTATTATTTTATTATTAATTAATTAATTATACTTTTTTCTTTATTACTAATTATAAATTCACTTTTTGGGAGATTAAAAAAATGTATTATTAAATTATTATTATCTCATATTATTGTCATTAAAAATTTTTAAAGGTTTTATCTGATAATTTGAGTGTGTGAGAGATTATAATACATGGAAGTTTGAGATAAATTTTATGACTAATAATTTGTATATTCAAGCAATTAGGAAAAATATTTGTGGTACTTTGATTCCAGAACATTACAACAGATATTTATATGTAATTTTTCATTCATAGGCATGCAAGATTTTTTTTTTTTGACACGAATCCAAATCTAAGAATAAAAAATTCAATATTGATTATTAGTATTTATTGACTAAAGTTACAACTATCATACATTAGTGGACAATAGTCTTATAATTTATAGTTTGTAGACCTTTTGCCATTATCAATCAAGAAACGTGTGTGTTCATTAACAGTTTCAGAACTAGCAAAGTTAACAAAAGGATCTCAATTTGCCTGGAGTTAAAGTGTTCAAAAATTGTTATTAGTATGTATATAATATTGTATTTTATATACCTTTTATATCTATTTTTACACATATTATATAATAAATAAATTCAACTTTGATGGGACCAAGTA